CTCGATGCTGGGCAGGGTTTGGTCTGGGCCAGGTTTAACTCAATGCTGGGCAGGTTTTGGCTGGGCTAGGCCAGGTTTAACTCAATGCTGGGCAGCATTTGGGCTGGGCCAGGCCAGGTTTAACTCGATGCTGGGCAGCATTTGGGCTGGGCCAGGCCAGGTTTAAGTCGTGCTCTGTTTTTGTTCTGCAGGTACCGAATGTACAGGAAGAGCCAGACCACGGGCTTTCCCTCGTTAATCACAATCTTCTCTGCACCAAATTACTTAGATGTCTATAACAACAAGGGTAAGGCCAGGGCTCTGCTGCTCCTGGGCAGGGTCAGGAAATCCCTCTCCCACTCTGCTCTCCCAAAATCCCAGGATAATTCAATTGGAAAAGAGCTCCAACACCCAACCTGTGCCCCATCCCCACCTGGTCACTCAGTGTCACTTCCAGGAGTTCCATGGACACCTCCAGGATGGGAATCCAAACCTCCCTGGGCAGTTCCAGCTCCTGAGCTCCCTTCCCATGGGGAAATTCCTGCTGGTTCCACCCTGAGCCTGCCCTGCCCAGCCTGAGGCCGTTCCCTCTCCTCCTGTCCCTGGCAGGAGCTGTGCAGAGCCACAAGGTCCCCCCTGATCCCCCTTTGCTCCAGGCTGAGCCCCTTCCCATCTCCCTCAGGAATTCTCCAGCCCCTTCCCAGCTCCCTCAGGAACTCTCCAGCCCCTTCCCAGCTCCCTCAGGAATTCTCCAGCCCCTTCCCAGCTCCCTCAGCCTCTCCTGGTGCTCCTGACCCTTTCCCATCCCTGTTCCCTGCCCTGGATTCCCCCCAGCCCCTCCATGTCTCAGTGGGGACCAGAGCTGGACACAGCCCTCGAGGCACCTCCCCAGTGCCCAGCACAGAGGGACAACCCCTGCCCTTCTCCAGCTGCCACCACGCTGGTTTGGATACAAAAAACACACTCTTTTTGCTACAAAACCCTCTCCTCCAGTCGCATTCTTGTGCCTGGAATGAAAGAGAGCTTTGTGTGCTGAGCTGAAGTGGTTGACTTAATGTGTTACTGTGGCAATTAACTGTGGAGTCATAAGGCCTGGAATAAAGCTTTCATTCCCAGCCACAGGAGAATGGAGCCCTTTTGATGGATGCTGCCATCCCACAGAAGCTGATGGTGTAGGAAAGCTTTCCCCTTCACTCTGCCCCTAAACCGTGGGGATCCTGGTGGAATTTTCTCCAGCTGTGGAGTTTTTCACCCCTCACTTCAGATCTTGGCTCTGTTTGAGCTTCACTGTTCTAAGCTGAGAAGCAACCTGAGCAAACCAAAAAAATATGGCTTAAAACTTCTCGTTTTGGAGAGCTGGTAGCTTGATTCTACAAGAGAGTAGCGACATGTTGATAATGAAGGGTTTTTAACACTTCCAGAGGGAGCCAGGCTGGGAGAGCTGGGGATGAAAGAGGAAAAGGCTCCAGGGAGACTTTAAGAGCCCCTGCCAGAGCCTGGAGGGGCTCCAGGAGAGCTGGGCAGGGACTGGGGACAAGGGATGGAGGGACAGGACACAGGGAATGGCTTCCCACTGCCAGAGGGCAGGGATGGATGGGATTTTGGGGAAGAATTTCTCCCTGTGAAGGTGGTGAGGGGCTGGGATGGAAATCCCAGAGGAGCTGTGGCTGCCCCTGAATTCCTGGAAGTGCCCAAGGCCAGATTGGAGGGGCTTGGAGCACCCTGGGATAGTGGAAGGTGTCCCTGCCCATGACAAGGGTGGTACTGGTTGCTCCTTAAAATCCCTTCAAATCCAGCCCATCCCAGGGTTCTGTAAGTGGGAATAAATGGATATTTATCCTCTTTCCCTTTTCTCCCCTAGCTGCTGTACTGAAATATGAAAACAACGTCATGAACATCAGGCAGTTCAACTGTTCCCCTCACCCCTACTGGCTTCCAAACTTCATGGATGTCTTCACATGGTCCTTGCCTTTCGTAGGGGAAAAGGGTAAGAGAGATAAATTTGGGTTTCTCTTCCAAACTCCAGTGACTGCTCCTCTTGTCCTGAGTGCCACAAACCTGTCCCACAGTGCTGGGAGAGTGTTGCAGCTCCAGGTAGCACAGGAGAGCAGTTCACCCTCAAGGAGGTCTTCATTACTGGATTTAATTAGTGCAAAAACAGCTGTTGATACCTGCTTGAAAAAGCTTTTACCAATAAAACACTCTTTTCCTGCTCTTTCTGCATTGCTGGTGGAGCTGATCTTGGGTGCTGTAGCCCCACCTCAGAATTTGGAGATGTTTCTCTTGGTTTGCAGCAGAAGAATTTTAAATTCCTGTTGGCTCTTTGCCCACCAAAAAGGAAGCATTCACTTCAAGGCTTATTTCATTCTGAAGAAGGCGAGGCAGCTTAAAATATGACCAAGACTTTGCCTCAGCTTTTCACCAAAAGGATTTTTACCTCTCCTGATGAGCTTAAATTCCACCCCATTCTTGTATGTTCAAAATGCAGCTTCACCCTCACCTCTTCCAAAGGGTTTTGAGGCACCAAAGGTCGAATCCCCCCCACTCCCCAAATTCGGCCTTTCTCAGAGCCAGGTGGCAGTGGCGTGGGTGAGGATGGGGAGGGGGGACCTTGAGGGAGCTCAGGCTGTTCTGCAGGAATGTTGGCACCTCCTTCCCCACGTCTGGTTCCTCTGCGATGTGCTTGGCCTGCATCCACCTCCTTGGCAGAAGATGCAGCGTGTGTCGTCTGCTCCGGCGCCTAAAAGTGTCTTTAGGCTCCCACTTGCAGGGGACAGACGACCTTGAACTCCTTCCCTGGTCCTCCAAAACCCTCTCTGACCTCGCTGTCTGTGCCTCTTGCAGTCACCGAGATGCTGGTGAACATCCTCAACATCTGCTCCGACGACGAGCTGATTTCGGACGGCGACGAGACGTTGGAAGGTAAAATATCCCTGCTGGCACCAGAGAACAGCGGGGGGAAAGGCTGGGCAAGGTCTCTCATGCCTGAGCAGCACTTGATTTATAGCTGGATGCCCAGCCAGGGCCTCCAGTTCCTTTGCAGTTTTGGGTAGGGAATGTTATTTTTTTTTTTTTTTCCCCTCCTTTGCTGTTCAGTCACAGAGAAATTAAATGACATTCACTGCGACAGACAATTCTTGCCAGCTACTCTGGGAATGGTTTCCTGCTCCTTACACAGGCTGCTGGTTATTTTTTCCCCCTAATTCAAAATTTTCTGCACCAAAATATCCACCCAATCTTCTCATCTGTTGCAGTGAACTCCTCTGTAAAGTGGCTTCTCCTGTCACCCCCTCCCCAAAAACGCTGGTTTTGGCCCTGGTTTTAAGCTGTGCATGAAGGGGACAAATCAGTGGTTGAGCTGATGAGCAGTTTGGATTCTGGGGGGACTCAGGAGTGAGGTGGTGACCTGAGGAAGCTGAGGGGGGCAGCGAGAAGTGGGGCCTGAGCTGCCTCAGCCCCAGGTGGAGACTCTAACCCGCTTATCCCATTGCATTCCCGTTTTGTTTTTTGGTTTTTTTGGTTTTTTTTTTCTTTCCTCCCTCCCATGAAAATTAAATTTGTTTCTTCTATCTCTGTCTTCATCTACTTGTTTCTTGGTGTCTCCTCTCCCTGAAGATCACTACATTTCAAGCTATCCGAAAGGTACCCAGCTAGAATTTGCTACGAGCTTAATTATCACTGCCTGTGCCACCAGATCCTTGAAGTGGATTTCCAGAGCTGACTAGTGGGGCAGTCTCTTCATCCCCTTTCAGTTTTAACATAAGCTCCATGTGTTTTTTAACCCTTCTGCGTTCCTCCAGGAACTCTGAGAAACGGGGGTCACGTTTCTACCCGATTCTGAATGCAGCCACGTAGTGCATGGCTGAGCCATGGTGCATGTTAGCCCTGGGTTTGGCTTCCCTGTCCTGACGTGTACTGGGCCATGTGAGGAATCTCAGCTGAGAGGAGATGGATTTGTTCCCTCTTTCGACCTGAATTTTCCCTTTGGTTTCAGCTCCCTCCGTGCTTATTTTTGTTGTTGTTCCTCTCTCCCGCCGTGTCTGTAGAGTGGAAAGGGAGCTCCCCCTTGTCCCGTTGTGTCCGTGTGGGGTCAGAGCAGAGCTGCCAGGCTCGGGCCAAGCCCTTCCCCGTGCTCCCTGGATGCCAAAGCTGATGCTTGCGTGCCGCTGCGGGCGAGCCCAGCGGTGCCCATCAGCCGTCAGACCCCTCCGTGCCCTGCCTTGCCGAGCGCGTCCTCATGGCTGAGTCATTTGTGTCACATCCGTGCAGCCTGGGCCCGGCTGGCCAGCGCCAGCGCCGCCTCCCCGAGTCCGTGTCCCGTGGTGGTTCTCCTCTCTGCAGCCCTCTCGAGTTCCGTGTGCCATCTCGTTGGTGTTGCCATCCCGGTGCCATCCTGATGCCATCCTTCCAGCACCGTTCTCTCTCCGGTGTAGCTGTCAGTCTGTAAAAACCATGATTTCTTTTCCTGGAGTCAGGCAGGTGCTTCATCCCGGCCTTCCCTGGAGAGCAGGGAGGCTCCAACGCGCTGCTGTTTGCTCTTTTCTCTCCCTCAGGTGGGACAACGGTGCGGAAGGAGATCATCAGGAATAAGATCAGAGCCATTGGGAAGATGGCACGGGTCTTCTCAGTCCTTCGGTGAGGATGGGCCAGAGACCGGGCTTAAACTGGGGACTGGGCTTAAAGTTGGGACTGGGCCTGAACTGGGGATGGGCTTGAACTAGGGACTGGGCTTGAACTGGGGACTGGGCTTAAAGTGGGGACTGGGCTTGAACTGGGGACTGGGCTTAAAGTTAGGACTGGGCTTAAAGTTGGGACTGGGCCTGAACTGGGGATGGGCTTGAACTAGGGACTGGGCTTGAACTGGGGACTGGGCTTGAACTGAGGACTGAGCTTGAACTGGGGACTGAGCTTGAACTGGGGACTGAGCTTGAACTGGGGACTGGGCTTGAACTGGGGAATGGGTTTAAACTGGGGGCTGGGCTTGAACTGGGGACTGGCTTGAACTGGGGACTGGGCTTGAACTGGGGACTGGGTTTAAACTGGGGACTGGCTTGAACTGGGGACTGGGCTTGAACTGGGGACTGGGCTTGAATGGGGGACTGGACATAGTTTGGGGACTGGGTTTAATTTGGGGATTGGATTTAAATTGGGGACTGGGCTAAATTTTGGGACTGGGCTTAATTTGGGCTCTGGGCTTAAACTGGGGACTGAGTTTAATGTGGGGACTGGGCTAAATTTGGGATCTGGGTTTAAATTGGGCTCTGGGCTTAATTTGGGGACTGGACATAGATTGGGGACTGGGTTTAAATTGGGGACTGGGCTTAATTTTGGGGATTGGTCTTAATTTGGGGACTGGGCTTCATCTGGGAGCTGAGTTTAATTTGGGGACTGGGCTTAGTTTGGGAGCTGAGTTTAATTAGGGGACTGGGTGAAAGGGGAACACTGGTTAGGAAAAAAAAGAAGGGAAAAACTTCATAAACCAGGTGGTTTCTCCTGCCTCTCCAGGACAGATTTGCCTGAAAAAAAGTTGTAGCCAGGCAGGGGTTGGTCTTTTTTCCCAAATAACAAGTGGCAGATGGGAGGAAATGACCTAAAGAGCTGCAGCAGGGGAGGTTCAGGTTGGATATTAGGGGAAAATTCTGCATGGAAGGGATTGCCCAAGGGAGTCCCCATCCCCGAGAGGTTTAACAGCTGTGTGGATGTGGCACTTGGGGACGTGGGCAGTTGACGGTTGCACTCGGTGACCTTGGAAGTCTGTAATGATCCCATGGCTGGATGATTCTCACGATCCATGGCTCCCACCACACCCCCCAGCCCTGCCCGGACCAGTCCCAGCCCTGCTCCGTGTGTAACTGGTGCTGCTCTTCCCTGCAGGGAGGAGAGCGAGAGCGTGCTGACCCTCAAAGGCCTGACCCCCACAGGTACCCTGCCCCTGGGAGTGCTCTCGGGGGGGAGGCAGACCCTGCAGACCGGTGAGTATCCCTGCCCCTGCACTCCCCCTGCCCCAAATCCCCTGGAGCAGCTCCCACGGGCGGCCTGGGGGCTGCCAGGGGACCCCAGCCAGGCTTCAGGCCCGTGGGGAGGAAGGATTCCCAAGCAGGAGCAAGCAGAGGTGTAGGTGGGGGTGTGGAGAGATGCCGAGATGTCCCCGTGTACCCTCGAGGAAGAAAACCAGCAGCACCCCGCCTAAAGCATGTTTGGCGCTTAATCGTTTGTTCCTGCAACAAGTTTTTATCCTTTATTTCCCTTCTAACGCTGCATGGTGCACATCCTCTGCCTCAGCTCGCTGTGCTGCTGCTGTGTGACAGCCTCTGTGTGAATGTGACAGTGACACGGCCTCTGTGTGAATGTGACAGTGACACAGCTGCTTGTTTGTTCTTCGTTCAACCAGACCCCTCCCGGTCTGCCCCTGTCAAGCCATGAATCCCAAAAAAGGAACGAGGTTGCTCCAGGGCTGGGTGGTTCAGAACAATCTCCTCTCGGGTTTTGAGGTAGTTGTGGAGGTTTCTTCTCAAATTCACTGCCTCCCTCAGCAGCTCAGGGAGCAGCAAAGAGCGAAGGATCTGATTCTTCCCACTCCCAGGGAGAGTGGGAATGAGCTATCCCAGAGGGAATCCTGTAATCCAGTGTTTAAATCCTCCCCTGCCATCGGCCTTTGAAGCCTGGCACCTCCCCAGCTTCCCCCTTCCCATGGACACGGGGATTTCCTGCAGCTCTCCCCAGGTCTGGGCTGAGGATTGCCTGGATTAAATAGTTCACGAGTCAGAAACGTGGAAATACCACTGCCTGCTCCCGGGGAGGATGCAGCATCGCTCCCAAGCTCACGGATTTCTCTGCCCACAGAGGAGGATGGGGATTTTTTCCCTGTTTTTATAGAAACCATCACAGCCCCGTCGCCCCAGTTCTGGGAGCAGAGCCTGAGTGGGAAGGTGGCTGTTGCAGCAGCTCTGTCCCTGTATCCCGACAGCACAGGGTCATGCAGTGACGTTCTCCAGCACCTCCGCCTCTCAGGGGGTTCTCTCAGGGGTGCCAGGGATCTCCCCTCCCCCAAAATAAGCCTCTCCCCAGGACAGAACAAACAAGCTGGGCCTTTGCTGCTGCCTTACCCGCCCTGCCCGCCGCCTGCAGGCTCCCCCCGCTGCCCTCGGCAACTCCCGGCTTCTCCTGCCCTCCTCACCCCCTTTCCCTGTCCTTCCCCCACTCCCCTTTCCCTGTCCTTCCCCCTTCTCCCACTCCCCTTTCCCTGTCCTTTCCCCTTTCCTTGTCCTTTCCCCCTTTCCCTGTCCTTCCCCCTTCTCCCACTCCCCTTTCCCTGTCCTTTCCCCTTTCCTTGTCCTTTTTCCTTTCCCTGTCCTTCCCCCTTCTCCCACTCCCTTTTCCCTGTCCTTTCCCCTTTTCCCTGTCCTTTCCCCTTTTCCCTGTCCTTTCCCCTTTTCCCTGTCCTTTCCCTTTCTCCCATTCCCTTTCACCTTTCCTTGTCCTTTCCTCTTTTCCCTGTCTTTTCCCCTTTTCCCTAAACTTTCCCCTTTTCCCTAAACTTTCCCCTTTCCCTGTCCTTTCCCTTTCTCCCATTCCCTTTCACCTTTCCTTGTCCTTTCCCCTTTCCTTGTCCTTCCCCCTTCTCCCACTCCCTTTTCCCTGTCCTTTCCCCTTTTCCTGTCCTTCCCCCTTCTCCACTCCCCTTTCCCTGTCCTTCCCCCTTCTCCCACTCCCCTTTCCTTGTACTTCCCCCTTCTCCCACTCCCCTTTCCCTGTCCTTTCCCCTTTTCCCTGTCCTTTCCCCTTTTCCCTGTCCTTTCCTCTTTCCCTGTCCTTTCCCCTTTTCCCTGTCCTTCCCCCTTCTCCCACTCCCCTTTCCCTGTCCTTTCCCCTTTCCCTGTCCTTTCCCTTTTCCTTGTCCTTCCCCCTTCTCCACACCCTTTTCCCTCTCCTGACCCTTTTCTCTCCCCTTTTTCCCCATCCTCCCACCCTTTCCCGTTCCGCACATCCCTTCACGCTCCCGGTGAATTTTTGGGAGCCCCGTCTGCTGGGTGAGGAGGAGGGGGTGCTGCCCCCGTTTTGGGGTGCCTGTGCACCTCAAGAAAGGGAAACAGGGCTGCAGTGAGAGGGGGCCCTGCCCTCCTGAGCCTCTCCCCAGCCTTTTCCAGCAGGGCTTGGCAAAATCAGCTGAACAAAGTCACAGAATCTGGGGCAGAGCTGTGCGGCCACAGCTCCATCCTTCCTCCGTGGCCTCCCGAGGACCACGTGGCCTCTGCATTGTGTCCAAAGTGAAAAAAAACCTGCAGTTTTGAGGCTAAAATCCAGAGAATCTGCTCCAGGGAAGGGCGTCCTTCCAGATGTTGAGGCAGGGCCTACCAAACCTTGGATGTTGCTGCAGCAGATTTAGGAAGGGGGACATTGCTCAGCTCTGTGGTGCCTTGTTGCTTGGTAACACTTTCAGGAGGTGGAGCTGAAGCCAAACTGGATTTTGAGCCTGATTTTCTCTCAGAACTCAAGGCACCAGGAGCGGAGCAGCCCTGCTGCTTGTCCTTCCCTGGAAATCAGGCAGCCCCTCTCCTTCCCACTGCTCCAAAACATCCCCTGGGATCCCTTCTGTGTGCTGCAGGGTGAATTCCCCATCACTGGAATCATCTGGAGGTGGCCTGGAGCCACCCAGCCGGGAGCAGATCCACGGCTCAGTCCCAGCTTGTCCCTGTCCAGTGCACACAGCAGGAAGCCCCCCGCTCTCTGCTCCTCTGTTCTTCCATCAGATCAATCCAGAGGAAAGGAGACTCCCCTGAGCCCTCGGGACCCCCCTTTCCCCCTTCCTCTCCACCTCTTGTCACCTTTTTCTCCCCTCTCACCACTCGTTTGGCACCACCGGGGCTGGGGGGCCGCGGGCTCTGCGTCGCAGCCATGATGTCGGATCACTCACTGTCACTCTGTTTTTGTTTCTTTTTTTTTTTTTCCTGTTTTTTTGTTTTGTTTCGGTTTGTTTTTTTGTTTTTTTGTTTTTTTTTCCCTGT